GAAGAGGCGCACCGGGCCGGGCTCGGGGCCCTGGAAGTAGGACAGCAGCAGGGGCATGGCCGAGGACGGGCCCCCGGGGTTTTGGCGCAGGTCCATGATGAGGTGCTCCGTGTGCTGCAGGGGCTCCCACACCTGGTGCAGGATGTACGGGCCCAACGCCCCCAGCACCGAGGCATCCGCAAAGCTGTCGAAGCGCAGGTACCCCACGTTGCCCGGCAGCACCGACGTCTGGAACACAGAATCCACTAGGGCTCGCCGGGCATCCTCGTCCTCAGGCACCCCGGGAGCCGCGCCCCCCGGCGGGTCTTCGACCCCAGCCTCGGGACTAGCAGAGCCTTCTTTGGGCTTGACAGCGCGCACCAGGAGCCTGGGGTCCTCAGACACAGCCTGCAGGGCGGCGTTGAGCTTGGTGACCAGATCCTCCTCGGAGACCACCGTGGAGAAGTCCATGCTGGCCAGGTGGCGCAGCAGGGCGGGCACTCGGTCGACCAGCGTGTAGTAGTTCTGCAGCGCCTCCTGCAGGCAGCGGACGACCCCCGGCAGAGCGCGTCGAAGAGTCAGGATGGCCAGGGCTTTCTCCAGAGCCTGCTCGGCGGGTGTCCCCACACAGGGCAGCACCCCGCTGCCCTCCCATGTCTGGCTGCCCCCGCCCAGGGGTCCCAGGGACCTGGACACCGGTACGGTGAGGAAGAAGTTGGATTGGCCGATCCTCAGCTTCTGGAGATCCAGGGCCCCTCCCACAGTCCGCTCGCCCACCACAATGGCCCTGCGCATCTGTTTGAGGATGTAAGCGATGTCCTCGGCCACGCCACCCGTGCGGCCACTGGTGAGCACCACCACGTCTTTGTCGGCACCATACCTCTCTCCCAGGACCTGGGGCAAGGTCCAAATCTCCGTGGTGGTGTTGGAGGGGCGGTCGTAGATGGTGTCCACGTGCAGGACTGTGTTCCCTGGGTGCAGGTAGGAGATGATGTAGGGAATGCCGGAGACGTGGCCCCCTGTGCAGTGCCGGAGATCCAGCACCAAGGCAGAGGTGCCCAGGAGCTTCTCCCAGACGTGGGTCACCAGGAATGCTCCCAGTTTTCTTAGCAGTTCCTGGCCTGGGATGTCATCCACCCGCAGGTAGCCCACGTTGCCCTCCAGAACCTCATGGTGGAGGCCATTTTGCAGCCAGGCCAGCAGTTCCTCTTCTGTAAGACTGGTGATATCTGGGGCTTGCTGGGGAGGCTCAACGGTGCTGGGCTCATAGGAGATGATCAGGCGAGGGTCGTTCAAGGAGCTTTGCACCCCAGTGGTGAGCACACTGGCCAGCGTCTGAGGGTCTGTGATACCCAGAATCTCACGGCTCTTGATGGCTTGCTCGATGGCTTCCTGCATCCCCAGCAGGTTTTCCGGGAAGCAGTAGTTATCCAAGAGGACCTTGGCCATATCCAGCACCAGGCTGGGCTGGAACAGGTGTGTGGGGCCAGCCAGGCCACAGAGCAGCGTGGACAAGAGCAGGACCCATTCTCTCATCATGAGGATCCAGGGGGAGGCCTGACTCTTGCACAAAAGCCCCCTTGACAGTTTGCAAGACCACTGCCCTGCTCCGTGCACTGCCTTCCTCCTTTGTCCTTCTCAGCTGGTGGACAGAAGGTCTGGGGCTAAACTCCGGAGTTGGGGCAAGGCTTCTAGCTCCAGTAAGCTTTTAATCCTGTCTAATTCAAGCACGTCGTCCCTGGGGATGGGGGAGAAGCAGCCAGGGCAGTTTGACCCAGGAGGTATGCTGCATTTCATCTTGCTGTGCCACCCCTACATATCACAACATTAACAAATGCCATTTATTTTGAGTTCCTGCCACATGCCAGGCACTGTGCTCTGGACTTTACAAGCTGAGAGTTTTCACCAGATCTTTGAAATATTGAATTATTAACCTGCAAATCCATAGCATTTCCCACTACCCTGGGGGATCAATGGCTCTGGAATTAGGTAGACCTCCTTGAAGCCCTGGTTCTGTCACTGTCTCTTTGGTGGCCTTAGGGAAGTATCTTACTTACTGTGTAGACTAAATGAGAAAATATATATAAAGCCCTTCCCAGTGGCTGCAAGTAGGAAGCACTCCATCACTTATAAATTCTCTCTGCGTTAAGATATTAACTCTTTTTCATAGCTAAGGAAACAGGTCGGGGAGTCTGGTAGCTAACTGAAGTCTACCATTTTAAGTGAGGGTGGTTGGAGGAGGGGCAGCAAGAAGGATCCCTTCTGGCCACAGTGGGCTCAGACAATGATGAGACTGAGGCTGCCTTCAGCCTTGGGGCTTGAGATTTGTGTCCATGTCCTACAATGCCTCCAGGATGGTCCCCCCACAATCTTCCAATGCTGGAAATGATATGTCTGGGCCTCCATGTGGGATGTGGAGCGGAGGGGTGGCCACTTTCCAGACATCATGGAACCAGTGTTTCCATCTCAGAAGAGTGTCATTCTTTCGGCTGGAGAACCCTCCTGGCTGAGAGCCAAGCTAGCAGCCTGCTCTCTGTAGAGAGAACTGAGTTGTAGGAGGACTTGAGTCTCTGTGGTCCCAGGCCTCACACAGAATCCAGATCATTCCCCTCACATGCATGGAGCACACCACACGAACCAGCCGAAGGTGGATGACTGGGCGCTGGGGCTCCCAGGTCCTGCTACTTCTCGTAGAAGTGACATGGGTCCTACTTGTGACTGGCTTGCTGTAGATGCCCAAGAATACTATGAATTCAGAACCTAGAACTATTTTGTCTCTGAAACCCTCTAGGGATGGGCATTTTCCTCATTTAACAAAAGAGACAACTATGGCTCAGACTGCAGTTGCAAAGCCAGAACAGAGTGCTGGGAGAGCCTCCCCAAGCTGGCCCCAGCCACACGTCCTGGGCTGAGCCAGCAGTAGGGAGGATCCCCTGTGCATCTTAGTAGGCAGACAGGCAAAGTGGTCTTGGGGATTGGGGGGTGGGTGGGAGGGGGTTCCCTGCACATTCAAGAGCCACAGTTCACCCTCTAGAAATCATTGTCTGAGGATGTTTACCAAGTGGTTTATGAAGGCCAAAGAGGTCAATTAGCTAAAAGAAACATATTTTTAGCTCATTAGGATTTGCGTAATGCCCAAGTGACATATGGTCACATCACTCCACCTTTTGCAGCCAATAGAAATGAGCCTGATTTACTCTAAGAATAAGGCAGGCATGGGATGCTGTGGACACCTCCTTATGAATGCATGTGTTGCATTTCCTTAGTCCACTCTGGGAAGGCTGAGCCCTCTACTCTGTCTCTGCTTGGAAAATCAAGACTCTGAGCATACAGTTCAGTGTCCTCTAGGGGTACTTCTCTGGAAGGGCTGGGGATGAAGATAAACAGGAATGAAGCTCTCTTCGGGGAAAGGATCCCTGGATCTTTATTAAGATGTAGTCTCAGGCTAGGATTCCTGGAGCTGCTACTGGATCTTCATTTGTGTGGGTGGCCCAGAGCCTCAAGAAAGACATGAAACAAACAAACAACTGAAGTCTGTTGCAAGTCCCTGGTGTTCCCAAGGTAGACAGTGCTTGGACTGAGAGGTAACACTCATCCTGTGGGTACACCAAGGTAGGTGTGAGGGCAAGTTCTGTCTCTAAAGCTCTCCAAACTCTCCAGGCGCAGAGGTGTCCTGACTCCCAGGTGAAGATGTAAGCAGATGGCAACTGGTCTCCTCAGTGCATCCAGGAGAGTATTTTCTGGGCAAATCTCCAGAGCAAGAGCCAGGAGCTCTACATCTTCCCATCCAGCCCCTGCCAGCTGTGAGCCCAAGGGAGCTATCGAGAGTCCACTCTGATTTGGAGTTGGGATGGGGTCAGAAGGCCCTGCATCCCCTCACTCATACAAATCTCCCTGTGGACAGAACTGTTGAAAGTGAGAGCTTAGGAGCTATCCTCAAACCCTGCCGCTTTCTAGGGTAGGTGAGATCTTGATAAGGTGACATCAGATCTTGATTAGATGATATCACAGTTTTGTCTCTCTAGCCCCTTCTAACCTGCAAGCCAGTGTATGTTTTGGATGAATTTCAAAGCAAGTTGAAACTTGTCCTTATTTCCTTTTAATGCTTTCCCTTTTTCCTTTGTTTTAAATCAGAAGAGAAAAACACTCATTTTTATAGGAATATGTGAACAATCTTTCTCCAAAGCTATTCAAATCCAGCCTTCTTTAGTAACCAGTGCCCACTTTGAATGTGTGGCAATCCTCACCCATCTCTTGTTCATACAGAGAACTGCATGTACAGAAGAGGTCCATCCACACATCTGTGGGCTCACTATCCATCTGTCTGTCCATTCATCCATCAGTCCATCCACCTAATGTCATCCCATAATGGTAGGCACGGGAATTTGCATTTTGTGTTATTCACTTAAGCATATAGCAAAAACATCTTCCCAGTTGAAGTACACTCATTAAATTCATCCTTTTAATGGCTACATACAGGCTGGACATTCCTAACCCAAAAGTCCAAAATCCAAAATGACCCCAAATCCAAGACTTTTTCAGCAATGGCATGAAACCACAAGCAGAAAATTCCACACACAAGTACTTACATAACTTTATTTTAGGAACAAAATTATTTTAAAAAATTGAAAAAAATTACCTTCAGACTATGTGCATAAGATGTATACAAAACATAAGCAGATTTTTTACTTAGATTAGGGTCCTATTCCCAAGATAACTCATTATATATATGCAAATATTCCAAAATCCGTAAAAAAATCTGAAATCTGACACACTTCTGATTTCAAGCCTTTTGGATAAGGGATAGTCAACCTATAATTGTTCTTGATGATTTACGGATCTGTTCCTCAATGATGCATATTTTCAGTTTTTGCTTCAATATTTTGTTTCAGCAATATTGTGATAGTTGTTCTTGAACACATGTTCTTAAGGGGTAGTGCTATTTATTTTTCTGTATAAATTCTCAAGCATGGGCTCCAAAGGCACTTGTTTGCTTTCTTTATCATATTTTTTCAGTAACCTTTAAATTATATAAAAATGTGCACTTTTTAATTTTTTCACAACTTATTATATCATTAACATACAATAAACCATTTGAAATATGGTTTGAAATATACAATTTGTCCACTTTTGACATGTAATTCTCACCCCAATCTAGATAATGTATATTGCTGTTATCCCCACATTTTCTTCATGGCCTTTTGTTATTCAGTCCCTCCTGCATTCCTATATCCAGGAAAACACTGATCTGCTTTCTGTTATCACTATAGATTAGTTTGAAGTTTCTGAAATGTATATAAATGAAATTATACCATGTGTATTATTTTTCATCTATCTTCTTTTACTCAGCATGATTTTGAGATTCACACAGGTTGTTAAGTGTACCATTAGTTCATTTGTTTTATTGCTGAGTAGTATTCCATTGCACAGATATACCACAATTTGTTGTCTACTCACTGGTTAATAGACCTTCAGGTTGCTTCCAGTGTATGACTATTACAAAAAAGGCTGACAGAAATATGTGAGTACAAGTCTTTGTGTGGACGTACCTGTTTCTTTTTGCTGGAATAATACTTAGGACAGGAGTGTATGTTTAATGTTTTAAGAAACAACTGTTTACAAAATTTAACATTCTACCAACAGTATATGAAACTTCCAATTCATTTACACAAATGCCAACAGTTGTTATGGGCAGACTTTTTTGGAACTTTTTAAGGAGGGATTCATGTTGCATTTCTTTATTTCCAGCCTACAGGGTTCATTTCTTATTCTTGCCTTATTGTACTTATTAGGATCTCCAGAACCTTGTTCCTTGACTTGGGGTGGAAACATTCAGTTACCATTAAGTGTGATGTTAGCTGTAGATTTTTTTTTTTTTTGGTAGATGATCTTTACTGGTTTGAGAAAATTCTCTTTTTTTTTTTTTTTTTTTGGTGAGTTGGAGTCTCACTCTGTCGCCCAGACTGGAGTGCAGTGGCCGCTCCCGGTCACTGCAGCCTCGACCTGCTGGGCTCTGGCAATCCTTCCGCCTCAGTCTTCCAAGTAGCTGGAACTACAGGTGCGTACTACCACACTCGGCTAATTTGTTTTTTGATTTATTGTAGAGATGAGCTCTCTCCAAGTTGCCCAGGCAGGTCTCAAACCTACGGGCTCAGGCAATTCACTCACCTCAGCCTCCCAAGGCACAGGATTACAGGCTGAGCCACCGAGCTTGGCAAGAAAATTCTCTTCTATTCCTAGCATTTTGAGAGTTTTTAAAGAATCATGAATGGATAATGAATATTTAGCACATTATTAAGATGATCTTTTTTTGATCTTTAGTTTAAGATGGTTAATTACATTGATTATTTTTAAAATCTTGAACCAACCTTGCATTTGTGAGATAAATATCACTTGTCCCCATGATGTATTATTATTATTATATATTCTTGGATTGCATTTAGTAATATTTTGTTGGTACTTTTGTATGCTCGTGGGCATTATCTCTCTAAAGTCTTCTTTTTCTTTTCTTTTCTTTTGGTTTTGCTATCAAGGTAACAACATCCTCACAAAATAAGTTGGAAAGTATTTTTTCTTTATATCCCTCCCTTTTTCTATTTGTTGGAAAAGTTTATATAGAATTAATATCATTTCAATTAATTGAGGAACTGAGTA